TTCAGTTGCCACCTAGAACGACTTGACCTGGCAAATTATAACGTACGCACCATAAGGACTAACGAGACGAGCCTGGAGCTGGAAGAAGAAATAGACAAGTTGCGCTGGAATATCAGAGGATTATCCGAGGTTCGAAGAGAGAGGGGGGACAGGGTAATCCTCGAATGCGGCAACTTGTTCTATCACTGGGAGGGTGACAGTCTGGAGACCATCCAAGGAGGTGTCAGATTTATCGTCCACAAGTCTCTCGTTAACAACGTTGTAAAGATTGGGAGTGTGTCGATGAGAGTTGCGTACCTTGTACTCAGGACTCTTTATGATGAACTCTTTCTTCCAGAAGCGGGCCCACAGGAAGTGGACCTGGTCGAGCCCCGACGGTTCGACAAAAAAATGAGATTGACTTCATTATGACGACCAGACGACAACTGTTCTGTGATGTCTCAATGGTCGCGATGGTGAAAACCAGCAGCAATCACCGAATGGTGCGAGGCACACTGAACCTAAACGTTAAGTTGGAGAGGTCACGTCTAATGAAGTCAACGCTCCGTCACTCTCGTGCTCTGTTACAGAGTCCCGAAACCTTTCAGCTATCGAGCTACGAAACCGTTTTCAGTGCCTAGAAGATTGCAATGCAGTGGACGATATGAATGACCAGCTCGTGGAAACTGTCCATGCGGTCGGAGCTAAGTTTTGCAAGACCTGCCGCAGAAAAACACAAAAACTCTCCGATCACACTCTTAATCTTATGGCTGTTAGACGGGATATGAAGCTGCAGTCTTCTGTTGATTTGACAGTATACAGGCAACTGAACAGACAGATCTCCAAATGCATGCGGCGGCACTTACGCAACTTTAATACTGCTCGTATTGAAGAAGCGATCGAGCGGAAACAGGGTTCCAAAGTCTTTACTATAGATCTCTCTGCCGGAAAGAGCCAACTGTCGAAGCTGAAGACCGAGTGTGGCAGCGTTATTTCCAGGACACCTGAGATTTTGAGTGAGATTGAGAGGTTCTGTGGGCAGCTGTAAACGTCATCGTGGGAGCCACATGCAAGTGTGAGTAACGATCCCAGTGTGAGTCTTATCCGACATTATTTCGATGATATGCCGGACGTCAGTCTGAGCGAAATTACAATGGCTCTCCACCACCTTAAAAACGGCAAAGCCCCAGGCGACGATGCAATTACATGCGGAGCTTCTGAAAGCGGGTGGAAAACTGGTACTTGAAGTCCTTCAGAAGCTCTTTTATACCGTCCTCCATGGTGGCATTTAACCGGAGGCGTGGCGCAGAAGGTCGGTGGTCTGTTACTTCAAGAAAGGCGACAACGCTCTTTTGAAGAACTTCAGACCGATTTCCCTTCTGAGCCGCATCTACGTGCTGTTTTCAAGAGTCATTACGAATCGTCTCGTGCGCAGACTTGACGACTTCCACCCTCCCGAACAATACGTACCCTTCGGCTAATTGTACAGAAGTCCAAGGAGTACAATTTGCCACTATGTCTGGCGTATGTGGACTATGAGAAAGCCTTTGATTCCGTCGAAATTTTGGCGGTGCTGGAGTCCCTTCAGCGGTGCCAAGTTGAATATCGGTATATCAAAGTGTTGAATACAGAACTAGAGTACGAAACCTATCCAATTGCAGAGAGGTGTAATACAGGGTGACATCATATCCCCGAAACTCTTCACCGCTGCATTGGAAGACGTTTTCAAGCTTCTGGACTGGAAAGAATACGGTATCAACATCAATGGCGAGTACATCACTAACCTTCGATTTAACGACGATATAGTCCTTATGGCAGAATCGCTGGAGGACCTAAGCACTATGCTCAATGACCTCAATAGTGTTTCCCAACGGATAGGTCTTAAGATGAACATGGACAAAACAAAGATCATGTTTAATGTCCATGTCACGCCTATGCCGGTGGTTTTTGGGAGCACTAAGTTCGAAGTTGTTGACGAGTATGTTTGGGACAAACAGTCCGAGTAGGTAAGTCCAAGTTCGACCGAGAGGTCAATCGACGGATTCAACTCGGTTGGACAGCGTTCGGGAAATCACGCCACATCTTCTCGTCAGGTATACCTCAAAACCTTAAAACGAGACTTGACAACCAGTGCCAGACATATGGAACTGAGGCGTGGTCCTTCACTGCTGGCCGGATAAGGAAGCACAAGGTCGCTCAGCGAGCTATGGAGAGGGCTATGCTCGGAGTTTCTCTGCGTGATAAAGTCGAAAGTTATAAAAGACTGTCGGGAATGGTCAAAAACGTGTTTACCATGCCAACGTTCAAAAATATGTCGGATGTTAGCTCACCTATAAGCACGTTTAAATACCGCGTGAAAGATTTAAACAAATTCACATCGATCTGGTAAAGCCATTGCTATTGTCGGATGGCTACCTTTATTGTATGACGTGCGTTGACCGCTTCACAAGGTGGCCCGAAGCTGTTTCGATCGCAGATATAACAGCAGGAATGGTTGCGATGGCTTTCTTATCTTGTTGGATAGCTCAGTTTGGCCGCCCCACAGATGTTATAACAGGTCGCGGTAAGCAACTCTAGTCATCTCTTTTACAACAACTCGCCAAAATAGCCGGATTTCAACACAAATGTGCGACGGCTTCCATCCGGTAAGTAATGAACGGTTGGAACGATTCCATAGGTTGCTCAAATCGTTCATAATGTGTCATAAACGAGAAAATCGGACTGAGTCACTATCATGAGTATTATTAGGGATACGCAGTTCATTCAAAGAGAACATACAAGCATCTTCTGCTGAATTATTGTATGGTGAACCTTTAACTTTGCCCGGAGAATTTATTGAGCCTACTGGACCTAGCGGTACAACGGACATTACCGAATTTGCATCCCGCATACGCACGTTTGCTCAAAAATTACGTCCAATGCCCATGTCTCGTAATAACAATAAAAACGTCTTCATTTTTAAAGACCTTGCCCACAGCAACCACGTATTTATACCTGAGGACGTATCACGGGGATCCTTGCAGCCTAAATACAGCGGTCCTCACAAAATCCTCACTAGAAGCGACAAAACATTTAAGCTCTTGGTTAACGGGAAGGAAGTTACTTTTATAGTCGATCGCCTTAAACCAGCCCATATACTATGTGACACATCAGGTCAACCCGATGTTAACAATACTATAAAAACGCCGAAAAACACAACACCATATTTAGCAGTTGGCCGACGCTCATAGGTTCGATCACGGTATGGTAATGTAACGATGATACCAACGGCATATATCTCGTGCGGCAGTGGCTACAGGCGGGCGGCGTGAGCGCGCCGCCTCCTTGAACCTTGATCAGTCGTTTACGTACTATAACGGAGAGAGATTGTCGCTTCACGTGTGAAGACGCGTGTTATTTAAATATTTACGTGTGTAAATATTTAAATAACACGCGTTTTTACACTTAAGAGAAAATAGGTAACAAATTTTGTTACCTATTTTCTCTTAAGCTTCTCTCCTCTTTTCTTTATATCTATAAGCTTGTTTCTTCTTGTAAGTGTTGCATTCTCCTTCTGACTATATAGTTATTGGTGTGACCTTATATTTCTGTACAATAAATGTGTTAGTATAATAAGTGCAGAACTATTATTTATCTGTAAGCCCGCTACTGTACACAACAACAGACTTCACACCCACTACACAGTAAACGATATTGTACCCACACCAATAAACAAATCGGCTGGGCTCGTGTCGAGGCACACGGCCGTTGGTTTTTAAGTTAAATTTATGGTTCCGGTTCCGGCCTTACCGTAGCAAGAAGCAAAAAAATTATTGTGTTCTCTTTACCTCCAAAATAAATTCCAAAAGTCATCTCAATTAAGTAAAAGTGATTCGTTCTTATAGAAAACATAGTTAAGTGCACTTATAACTAATAATCTTGGGCAAAACGGAGGGAACAAATAAATGTACAAGGTGTGTGAACTATATTGTTGGGTTGGATCAAGTGACAAGTGTTCTACGACCATAGACAAGGAAACGCAGTGAAGGGTCTACCAACATATTATTCTAACAATCTGTACTGACAACCTAAGAATTAGGCTGCGTTCAACGTTTATTACAAAGAGTATATAATCACTATATTTTAAGAGACGGGACTTTCTTAGTGTATACATACGTTCCATTTTACACAAAACAACAATGGATAACATAGAAATTTTCCTTGAACGAATGAAAATTGAAATGGCAAAACAAACAGACGATATCATTTCGAAAATAGACGAAAAGTTAGCTCCTCTTACGCGCGAAGTCGAAGAATTAAGGTTGGAAAATCAGGAACTGAAAGAGAAAATAAGATTAATGGAAAGAAGCAGAAGAAACAATAACATTATTTTATATGGACTCAAAGAAACAGAAGAAACAGTGCTGGAACTAATGGAATTAACAGTCAAAAAAATAGGTACTGATTTAAAAATTTCCCTTGAGAACAAAGATTTTAACGAGATACGCCGAATTGGCAAAAAAGTCAATACTAATGAAAAGGAAAGACCAGTACTTATGTCATTAGTAAATGCTTGGAAAAAAGAAGAAATAATGAGAAACAAGAAGAAATTTAAAAATGTATATGTTTCTGAAGACTATCCCAAAGAAGTTCAAGAAAAAAGGAAAGAATTAAGAGGAAAACTGATAGAAGAAAGGAAAAAGGGAAACTTTGCAGTAATAGATTATGATAAACTAATCATCAAAGAAAAAACACAAAGCAACGAGAAGCGTAAACGAGATTTATCGACATCACCTGCAGATACACAACAGCCTCGAAAACAGTACGCGCCATCCAAAACGAATAGGGCAAATGCTTTCGACATAATGAGAGGAAGAAGTAGTTCCCTTTCCTGCCCTTCTAAACCTAATGAACAGAAACAATGACATAAAAACATCAGCCACCGGAACAAGACAACAAATAATGTAAAACTAAATAAACGAAACAATGAAATATTCCCCAAGCCGACTGGTCCTCGTGGGGAATTAGACCACCACCCTCCATTGAAGAATTCCAAGAGTAATATTAAAATTTGTAATAAAATTGGTAATAAAAATAAAAATATTAGAAATAAAAAGAAACAAGTTGAAAACTTCACTTTGAAAATAGGTACATTTAATGTAAGATCCCTCTCATCAATTGAACGATACCTACAACTTACTTATGCACTAGAAGAAATCGATTTTGATATACTGGGATTATCTGAAGTAAAGAAAACTGGCTACAGCATTGAAGAATATCGAGAATACATCCTATGTTACATTGGGCAAACAAAAGGCTTACATGGGGTAGGATTCCTGGTAAAGAAAAAACATAAACATATGATATCTAATTTCACAGGGATCTCTGAAAGGGTTGCTCTTCTGCAACTAAAAACAGAGAAATTTAATATATCTATAATCCAGGCATATGCACCAACAGAGGCATCTCAAGAAGAAGACATCGCAACTTTTTACAGCGATATGCTAAAAGCACACTCTTTAACAGATAATATAATAATTGTTATGGGTGACTTTAACGCAAAAATAGGGTGGCCCAAGAAAGAAGAATGGTTGTGTATGGGAAGCTACGGTTACGGAGAACGCAATGAAAGGGGAGAAAGACTAATAAATTATGCTCTCGAACACAAGTTGTCAATCATGAACACATTCTTCAAGAAAAAAGCCAGAAGAAGATGGACCTGGATGTCACCTAATGAGAAGATTAAAAATGAAATCGACTTTATTCTAACCAATAAACCTAACATGGTAAGCAACATTGAAGTTCTAAACCAAGTCAAATTTGCTTCGGACCACAGATTACTACGAACAACGTTTCATTTATACCAACCAAAAAAAAGCAGAAAAACATTTCAAAATTCAATAAAAAACCCAACAACAGACTACGAAATTAATAAATACACTGAAAGCCTGAAATCCAATCTAGAAGACAATATAACTACTATACCTGAGAATGTTCAAACCTTCTATGACTTACTTGAAGATAACATAATATCCAGTTTAAAAAATAATAAGGTCACTCAAAAGAAACGAAATTCAATACTTAGCGAACATACAAAACAACTAATTAAGAAACGTACAGAATTAATAAACACAAAGAATAAAAACAAAGAAAAGAAAGGTGAACTTACCAAACTATTTAAATTCACTAATAAATCAATAAAACACGACTACTTTAAACATAGAGAACTGATAATAACAAAAAATATAAATAGCTTTAGAAGTACTAAGAGAGCCTTCAAGGAACTAACTCTTCAAACGAAATGGATACAAAAACTGGAAAACAATTCTGCAGAGACTAAGTCAAGAAAAGATGTGATAGAACATGCTACCAAATTTTATAAACAACTATACAAAAAGAAGGAAGACGAGAATGCATTGGAAGAAGAAATTGACAATAAATCTAGAGTCAATACAGTTAAACTAATTGAAGAAGAAGAAATACTCTTGTATATAAAAATACTCAAAAATGAAAAAAGTCCAGGGCCTGATGGGTTAACAAACGAAGCCCTTAAATTAGGTGCCACTATCTTAGTTAAGCACTTAACACACCTCTTTAATATGATATTAGATACAGAAATGGTACCAAAGCAATGGTGTACATCTGACATTATATTAATTTATAAAAAAGGAAACCCGTTAGATATCGGAAACTACAGACCCATAAGTTTATTGACAAGTATGTACAAGCTCTTTACATCTGTCATACTAAAACGAATCACAAAAGAAATTGACGCGTCTCAGGCAATAGAACAAGCAGGTTTCCGCTCAGGATTCAGCACAATTGACCACATACAAACTCTAGAACAGGTTATAGAAAAATACAGTGAATTTAATAAATCTCTATATGTCGGCTTTATCGACTACAGCAAAGCGTTTGACAGTATCAACCATCATTTCATCTGGAATGCATTGAAAACATCAAATGTAAACGATAAATACATAAAAATCATAAAATATATATACTTAAATAGTACAAGTAGGGTTAAACTTGAAAGGAGAGGTGACCAAATAAAAATAGAAAGAGGAGTGAGGCAAGGCGATCCCTTGTCGCCGAAACTTTTCATTGCTGTGTTGGAAAATATATTTAAACATTTAAATTGGACAAAATATGGCATAAATATCAATGGGCGTCGTTTAAATCATCTTAGGTTTGCAGATGACATAGTCATATTTGCTGAAACAGCTAAACAACTTAATGATATGCTATATTCACTAGACCAAGAAAGTTCAAAAGTTGGTTTGGACATGAATGTTAGCAAGACTAAGATAATGACCAACAGTCTCAACGTACCCATCAACATAAAAGGAAACAATATAGAATACGTAATAAACTACATTTACCTGGGGAAACAAATATCCTTCATGAAAACTAATAACGAAGATGAAGTAGAAAGAAGAAAAAATATTGCATGGAGAAAGTTTTGGTCACTAAAAGAAATTCTAAAAGGAAAATACAGTATGAAAATAAAGAGTACAGTAATGGACACCTGCCTCTTGCCTAGTCTACTATACGGCTGCCAAACGTGGACATATACAAACAAAGTGAAACAGAAAATAAATACAACTCAGAGAGCAATGGAAAGGAGCATCTTAAATATAAATAAAATACATAAAGTAAAAAACAGTATAATAAGACAAAGAACAAAAATAACAGATGCACTCACGAAAGCTTTAACGTTAAAGTGGAAATGGGCAGGACACGTCTCACGATACCCAGATAATAGGTGGACAATACAAACCACACGATGGAAGGGACCGGGATCTGGCAAAAGGAAAGTTGGAAGACCACACAAACGGTGGGCTGATGACATAATACAGTATGCTGGAAAAGACTGGATGAGTAAAAGTAAAAATAGAGAATTGTGGAAGCAGATGGAGGAGGCCTTTACTCAAAATGAGATCCATATCTCTGAAAATATATATAGTTAACCGTACTTTATAAACTAAGATAAAATAAGCTAATAATACTTACAATAAGTACTAAACAACATCGAAATGTAAAAATGTAGAAATGTAGGGATAAGGAATAAAGAGGCTTTATTATTATTATTATTATTATTATTATAATAAGTGCAGAACTATTATTTATCTGTAAGCCCGCTACTGTACACAACAACAGACTTCACACCCACTACACAGTAAACGATATTGTACCCACACCAATAAACAAATCGGCTGGGCTCGTGTCGAGGCACACGGCCGTTGGTTTTTAAGTTAAATTTATATTGTATATCTATATATTTAATTATCTTTGAATGGGGTGATGGATTTTCAACACCACCATCACATGGCCTTATTAGATGGGCGTTATAGAATACTCGTATGTATGTTGACAATGGTAGCTCACTTCTATATATTTTGCAGGGCAAATTATACTCCTTCAAGAATTTCACAGTACATTTGGACGACTTTCCCAACGTTTTCCCATTTGAAAAGGGCTTAATCAAGTTTCAATTTCACTTGAATGATTCTGATAAAACACGAATAGGGGAAGGATCTCTTAATCTATCGTTCAAAAATAAAATTAATAAAATTAAAGGCAAATAACGCAAATAAACTACTTATTACACTTTTATTTTCCTTACTGAAATAATAGAGTTACAAAGTACTGTTTTTGGTTTTATTTGATCATCTATAGATGAATACAAAATATGATAATATCCGTCTGGCCGATGTTAAATAAAACAGATTTAGCATGCTACCTCGTAATCTAGCTCAAAACTCCCAATGAATTTCTAACCATTCAATATGAAGTATTCGGTGATAAGAAATCATTATGTGAACCTTGCAACCCCTCTCCCAAATCCTCGTAATCCTTTTGATTGATGAGAAATAATAATATAAAAAGAATTCAGCGCTAAAGAACAAAACTCTGATCATGTTTAGTGATGATAAAACCTAGGTTATTTATTAATTATTAAGAGGCGGGATTGTAGTCAAGCACTGGCAGTAATTTAAACAAAATATTTTTTCAAGGTGAAATGTTAATATTTCTAAACGAAATTTCATCTACCTTCGTTTAGCCGTCTTTACAAACTTATTTATTTATTTAACTTTTTTGAACCTTATAAAATATATAAGTACAAAAGGCGGACATAATGCTTAAAGCATTCTCTGCCTGTCAACCTTGAGGAGTGGAAAAACATCGAAGGCGGTTATTATAATACATAACAGTACAGAATAAGAAATATAATGAATTTAGGAATTATAGCATATAAACATAAAAATAAAAAATACAAATACCATACATACATATACATATATATATATATATATATATATATATATATATATATACAAACCACATACACACATATATATATACACAAATTCACATATAAATACATATATACACACAAATATACATATATACGTAAAAAACATATTATGATGAAATTAACTACTCGTATTAACACAGATTAACTCAGATGATGACGCCAACTTAGGAGTTCTTTACGACTTTCAGAAAATGTTCTTTAACATACTTTTTAAATGTTACTTTGTTGGAGCGTTGTCTCAAAGTTTCAGGCAGTGCATTCCAAAGTCGCGCAGCTCGTACAGCAAACGAGGAAGAAGAGAAACCGGAACGGTGAAGTGGAATGGAGAGCGTAAGAGTCTAGGAAGAACGTAGAGGTCTATTATGCGTATCAGATAGAAATTGAAACTTACGTTTCAAATAGTCGGGACAACGATTGTCGAATAAAATAGAAAAAAGTGTGAGAAGTGTGCTGACTTGCCTCCGTTGGCGAATGGGAAGCCAATTTAGCTGAAATCTAAAGGAGGAAACATGGTCAAACTTGCGAAGACAGAAGATGAATCGGACACAGTTGTTTACGAGACGATCCAGCTTGTCTAGAAGGTTCTCATTAAGATCAGTACAACACACATCAGCATAATCAATAATGGGCAAAATAAGAGACTGCACCAGAGTTATCTTTACCTTGACCGGAAGGAAGTTTCTAAGGCGATTTAGGGCACCCAACTTAGCAGTAACTGAAGCACTTATTGTTTGAATGTGAGTGGACCAATTGAGAGTTGAGTCCATACAGAGGCCTAGGTTTTTCACAGTGCTGGAATAAGGGATGCATGATCCATCAAACATGACAGGAGCGACAGAACAAATATCAAGTTTAGATAACTGACGAGCACTTCCTATTAAAATTGCTTGGCATTTGTTAGGATTCACTAGAATGCCTAATTTGCTAGCCCAATTGTTTAAATTTAATAAATCTGTATTAATATTGATAACAGCATTATCAATGTGATCCACATCAGTCTGAGTATAAATTTGCAAGTCGTCGGCGTAGAAATGGTAAGAACAACTTAGGTTGCTAATTAAAATTTAAATTGTGACATAACTTCGATAAATTTGCCGCCATTTCACAATTCACATATTTTATTGTAGTGATTGTTACATAGTGGACGTTAAAGAAAAACGAATGCCAATGCAAAATGTGAGCAGATTTGAGTCACTCGACAATTGACGCGACTTAACCAATTTACGGTATAATATCTGGAGTTTTACGATTCAGTGGTCACTGGTGGATGCTTGTTTGTTTGTTCATAAAAGCTTTTAAAAAGTTATTTCGCAAACATCCGCTCTATAAAATAAGATGATGTGTCTTACCTAGTATGAAGAGCACCTCCTTGAGGGTTTTTTTCGAACCAGTGGTAAAGTAAAAAATGACATTCAATAAGAATTACACATGTAATGTATATTGAATTAAAAATTATTCTATTCTATTCTATTCTATTCCTCGCGACCTCCCTCAATTGCGTGCACTATCCCCGTCACCACTAATCCCAGCACCACTACTCCCAACACCACTACACTAGGAAAGGCACACCACTGACAACAATACGACACGTGTTCGCCTCTACACGAGGCATCCTCAGGTGATGTAGACTCTACAGTGGCTGACCGTTAAGTGAGCGGTGAGCCAAAATAAACTGCCTTCTATACAGACCGACGAGATTTTTTATCGCATGACGCAACCGCTCCCTGCTTAAGGAGCGAACGACCGCGTCATGCGATAAAACATGCGACCAATCACCGCCGGACTTACGCAGCCGTTTGTAAAATTAAAAACAAACCGCCGCGCAACGCCCGCCTACCCTCCAACCACACAACCAATCGCCGATCACCGTGAGGGTGACAAACGATCATATTGCGAGGCTGTCTGTTATTAGAGAGCAGGCTTAAAGATATTCAAGAGAGGTGAGTTAGAAACATTTGTTTGTTCATTCAGCAGTGCAAAATTACTATTATTACTTTTTAATATCTCTAACTGTTCCAGCACATACAGTCACAGCCCTTTATAACTCGTATGAAAACTTTAAAGGAGTCTCGGCTCTTCGGACCATTGTCTGATCCGGAGTGTGGTGCCACTCACGCTCTTCTCGCGGTTGCTTTCTGCTGGTTGCCGCCGTGTTTGGCATTATAGGTCGGCGGATTGGGACGGAATGTGGTTTTTATTTGCATTCTACCCATGGAGGCGAGAAGCAAACGCTGCTTCTCGCCGGATGATCCTAGCACTGTTGCTGACTCTATCACTGATGTGGTGCTACAGGGAATGGAACTATTTATTACATAATCTGTGGTTCCCATCGGAGGCAGATTTCAGCCTTAGTTTGGTCGCTCCTGTAAGACTGTATTACGCAGTAAGCAGGAGTGTTATCAAGCCTGGGCTGCGGCTTCGGCGACTCGGGATGTAAACACCAGCACACTTAAGAAGAAGTATAACTTCGCCTCCAGGTCCTTCAAAAGAGTTGTTGCCAAGGTAAAGTCAGAGCACATAGGCAGAATTGACGAGAAACTAGTTCGCCTCCCTTTAGGAATCCGTGCATTCTGGTCTCTCGCCAAGGCTGTCCAAGGAATTTCTGTAAGCCATCACTACCATCTCTGCACAGGAAGAACGACTCACTGGCCCACGCCGCAAAAGAAAGCCGAACTTTTAGGCTCCTTTTTTGCATCCAACTCGACTTTTGGTGACGGGGGAACACACCGCCGACCATCCTGCAGTGTAAGTGCTCCATACCAGATGTGCGGTTCTCACAGCGCTCGATTCGCAGAGCACTCCTCTCGCTGGACATCCACAAGTCGAGTGGGCCTGACGGAATCCCCCCAATTGTGCTGACGTGTGCTCCGGAGTCGGCACCGGTTCTTACGCGTCTTTTCCGGTAGTCCGGTTCTTACGCGTCTTTTCCGCTCCCTAGGCGTAGTCCCGAAATCATGGAAGACAGCTTTTGCCCACCCGATCCCTAAAAAAGCGACCTCTCGGTCTTGTCCAACTACAGGCCTATAGCCATCTCTCCCTTGTTCTCCAACATAATAGAATCAGTTATAAACCGTGGATCACCAGCTGATTAGTGACCGCCAATAGGGTTTTCGTTGGGGTCGATCAGCTGGTGACCTTCTGGTTTACTTGACCCATAGATAGGCGGAGGCAGTAGAGTCCAAGGGGGAGGCATTGGCTGTTAGTTTGAACATTGCGAAGGCCTTCGACCGGGTTTAGCACAAAGCGCTTCTTTCGAAGTTCCCTCCCTATGGGCTCCCGAGAAATTGTGCAATTGGATCACCAGCTTTCTTGCCGATCGGAGCATCAAGGTCGTTGTAGACGGTGCATGCTCCGACTACAAGCCTATTAACGCTGGTGTTCCACAAGGCTACATGCTATCACCAACGATGTTTCTTCTGCATATCAATGATATGTTGCAAACCAGGTAGCAGTAACCAAGTAGCATTTATTGCTATGCGGATGACAGCACTGGTGATGCTCTATACACCGGCCGTGCCAATATTTCTCGGGAAAACGTCGCAGAATACCAGAACAAACTTGTGTCTGAAGTCGAATCTTTGGTGAACAAAGTCTCGGATTGGGGGTGACTAAATGTAGTCCAGTTTAATCCTCAGAAGACACATGTTTGCG